GAGTGGAATTTGGGTAAAGGAAATAACAGCCCAAGTAACCTGCTTATGAACTAGGATGCAGGAACTGGAAGAACCTGAGTGGAGTCAAGAGGGTGTGTGGTTATTAGCAAAAGTGAGATAGATGTCTAGGCAAGGTGTAATCTCAATGTTGTAGGCACTGAGTTTTTAAATTCTAGATTTATTGAGGTGTAATTTAAATATAATGAAATTCACCCCTTTAAGGTATACTGTTTCTACTTTAGGACAATGTATATAAATTCTAAAACTACAACCACAGTTGGGATTCAGAAATTATCTGAGAATGTTCCCTTGTGCCATTTGAGTGGCATCTTCTCTCACACTAATCCCCTAGCAGCATATTGATAGAGTTCCGTACCTTCATCTTTACTCTTCCACAGTGTGGCAATGACTCAATTTTAGGAAGTTGGCCTGACAACTTACGTCAGGTTACATTAGAGAGGCAGGAAGTAAATGAGTTACTATAGTAATGGGGGATAAGTTGACCAGGGAAGGAATATAAGCTGGGAATTAACTAGCTAGCTCTGGTTGTCTGCATTTACCCATCCTACAGGAGGTAGAAGAGGATGATCCAGTCCCCGAGATCCGCCGAGATCACTTTGAGGAAGCCATGCGCTTTGCCCGCCGTTCTGTCAGTGACAATGACATTCGGAAGTATGAGATGTTTGCTCAGACTCTTCAGCAGAGTCGGGGCTTTGGCAGCTTCAGGTAACCAGATTGCAGGGGGTTGTACTTAAGTGGTCTTGTGGAGCCCCACAACCAAGGGATACTGGGTTGTTTTGAAAACCTTACACAGGCCTACTATCCTAATACTCTCTTTAACTCTCCTCTTGTGCACACAGATTCCCTTCAGGAAACCAGGGCGGAGCTGGCCCCAGTCAAGGCAGCGGAGGCGGCACAGGAGGCAGTGTGTACACAGAAGACAATGATGATGACCTGTATGGCTAACTGGTGGTGGCTAGCGTGCAGTGAGCTGGCCTGGCTGGACCTTGTTCCCTGAGGGTGGGGGCGCTTGCCCAGGAGGGACCCGGGGTGCGCCCACGGCCTGCTCCATTCCTCAGTCTGAACAGTTCAGCTACAGTCAGACTCTGGACAGGGGGGTTTTGTTGCAAAAAAAATTACAAAAGCGATAAAATAAAAGCGATTTTCATTTGGGAGGCGGAGAGTGAATTACCAACAGGGAATTGGGCCTTGGGCCTACGCCATATCTGTTGTAGTTTGGGGCAGTGCAGGGGACCTGTGGGTGTGAACCAAGGCACTACTGTCACGCCACAGTAAAGTATCTGCACTTCACTCACTGCTGCCCGAGCCTTCTCTTCTTCCCCCTACCCAACTTGGGCAGGAGGCTGAAGGGCCACAGTTGCTGGGTGTTTATATAGAGAATAGGTTGATTTTATTTTACATGCTTTTGAGTTAATGTTGGAAAACTAATCATAAGCAGTTTCTAAACCAAAAATGACATGTTGTAAAAGGACAATAAACGTTGGGTCAAAATGGAGCCTTTGAGTCCTGGCCCCTGTGCCTGCTTCTTTTCCTGGGAAGGGCCTGGGCTACCTTTCACTGCCAAGGCACTCTTCCATATTTGGAATTGGGGAAGTAAGATTGCACTCTTTCCCCTCCTCATTAACATTGGTTATTTGATACTTACTGCTCAGTATCACTCGATGGGACTGCGTACAGGAGGAGAAGCCAGAGGAAGCTCCTGATAATGGTATCCTCCACCTATGTTTGATGTGGATGGCAAGGCTAGTCCTTCAGAGATCCCTTTTCCTGACTGAGGACTGGATTGGGGTGACCATCAGAAGTTTTAGCATTGTAGAAAGATACAGTTGCTATCTGGAGATGGACATTCTTTTGATATATAAAAGTCCCAAGCATTCATGCGCTGGTTGAGGATCATTTAACAATTATGTCCAGCTTTATTTTATGTAATTTGTTTTATATAAAAAAATAGCCTTTCTTAATATAAATTTCTAGTATTGGGTATGTTTTTTCTTAAGCTAAACATCCTCTCAGTTTTTCAGATGATTGCTTTGCATGGTTTTGTCTAGGTACAGAGTATGTTTGTTCAACAGGTACTAATGTAATCGCGTAGTGCTTCTGGGATCAGTACCATGATGCCTTACCCAAAGAGGAATATGGTGCAAGAAAATAATCTATTGAGTCAAATTTGTATTGCTTCCTAGTTGTCCTAGTACTTATACCAGGTTCTGGTCTGGTTTACATAGATAATCTATTAAGATAATTTTATTGGCTGATTAAACTGGGGCATCTCTAACTTGTGCTGTGAAATAATTATTTTTACACTTTGTGGATATATATAATAATATATATATATATATATTTTTTTTTTTTTTTTTCCAGATACTGTCTGTTTATCTTTAGGTATCCTGGTGACTTTAGTCTTCTTTCCACTCTGAAAATTGTCACTGTCTCACTTCCTGTGGGTTGACTGACAGCCTGACCTCAGTGAGGGCCAAAGACAAGATCTTTTGGGGAAAAACATTTGATATCTCCAATATCAGGCTGTGGGATCAAAACAAAGCAACTGGTATTTCCCAGAGATGTGGAAATACTAGTTGATATGTGGTAGAAATTTGTGTTGGAATGGTCATTTTGCTTTCATTTCTCATACAAAGTATAGCGAGGACAATTGCAGCTCTATAGATTCTATTTTTAAGATCTTTCAAACTGGGGTACAGGTCTGAGGTGCTTTGGGGGGTTGGGTTGAGAGGATTCACTAGAGACAAAGTGGGGAACAGAACAGACTTGACTGAAATACACTGCTGAGTGGAGCAGTGGGTGGGTCAGGAGAGGTATCCCGTGCCATGTGGGTCACCCCCTGGTGGGGGATCAAACTTCGGCTGCAATGGCTGTGGATAGCTTCATAGTGTTGTGCTTTAACCTATTGTGCCACCAGAAGGGCCCACACTAGAGGTTTTTTGTTTTTGTTTTTTTTTTTAATGTTTAAAAGTACAGGCTTATTAGGGAAAGGGACAGAAGAATAAAAGACACTTGTATAGACACAAGTGGGCCAGAAAGAGCTGCTCTGAAAGGGACAGGTTTGCTAAGAGAGGCCTGCATGGTTTCAGGCAGGCGGCCTTGGGGAGAGCGGCCTCTGCTGAGGGAGATCTGAAGCCCAGGCAGGTGGTGCAGGTCAGGCTGGTGCAAGTCAAGGCAAGCAGGAGGTAGCTGCCCTGAGGAGGGAGCTGGTGGAGAGAAGCCCCTGCACAGGCGAGGGGGGCAGAGGGACTGTGGCCTCTATAGGTTCTTTAGGAAAAAATATGAATGGATTTCAGTGAGAGGCTGGGGTCTAGTCCTGGCACTCTGATTTTGAACAAGGTGCTCAGCTCTTTTGGGGCCTTGAGTTGCTTAATGTGACAAAATGATCATACTTCATAATCTAGAAGCAATATGAGTGGCTGTTTACTTTCAGCAACCTAGAGAATGCTGTATACCAAAGCCAAGAGACAAGTTGTATCGGCTGTCTTCCCCCACAAGGGGACTTCCAGTTTCTTTAATTACAAAGAAATTAGAATATGGTTTAATTATACTAATCACTACTTCCTGGAGGATCAGAGCTGCAATTAGAAGATGTCTAACCAAGAAGACTTCACATAGATCATAGAGGACCCACAGAGGCAAAAGCAAAGAAGGAAGGAACTGTGAACCTAACATTGAGTTATGTTTGTATCCAAGATACTGACTATAAGAACCCTGAGAGTTCAGTGGACACAATGCCCAGGAGAAATGGCAGGTGTATCCATCATTAATTCAGCTGAACTACAGCAAATAGTGGTTTGTTACCTACCCCAACAAATTAAGTACTTAATGATAAATAAGAATATAGGACAGCTCTCCCCTCACCCACCTGTGACTTACAGGTATCTCTTACTCTTTTTCCTAATAAATCTGTTCTTTTCAAATGTGAAGGAAAAAGAAAGGGCCAGTACTTGGATTTTTCATAGAGCTATCTGGAGGTGTGTGGACTCATGGAAAGGCCTTTTGTTGAGTAAAAATTCATAATTGCTTTTTTAAGACTTTTCCGATGAGATAGTAGATAGGTGGGGAGAGGGAAAGTACCTTCAGTTCCCCACTTGGTCAGCGGGTTGTAAACGCTGGACATAAATCCTCTAACAGGTTTGGGCTAAATGAAGCTTTCGAACACAAAAGTAACACAGGAGGCAGAGGAAGAGCATATACCATCTCAACCAGCTATATAAAGGGAGTATTACAGAGAACAACACCGGGCTCGGACTGTGAACTTTATCTCATAGAACCTCACTTGTTCTTTGAAAGGGTTAATAGCTATACTGTCAGGAAGGGAGTGTTAGCAGCAAGAGGATCTGTGGGGTTTGCAAGGACAGAGTAAACCATACCAAGGTAGAATCTAGAGAAGCTTCTGGAGGTAGTCTGGGTGGTAAAGGAGGCTTGACATGGAAAAGGGGGAGAGCAGTTTGAGCAAAAGGCACAAAGCTTAGAAAATACAGTGTGTTTAAGAAGCATGGAGTGAATTGGAGATGAAAAAGACCACATTTTGAAGAACTTAAAAGACAAAAGTCCTTGGAATTTTAGGCAGCAAAATGATAGATTTCAGTGCCTGACAGTTTACTCTTTATTGTGGCAAAAATTTTACATGTAGTATTGTCACCCACAATACTCATCGCTGTGCATAAACAATTTTTAAAATGACAACTATAGAAGCAGTAATGTTGAAATTTAGGAAAATGTAAGCAAAATGGTAGATACCACTAACGTAACTTCAGTTCATATTGTCTCAATCTACATGTGTGTAAATGTGTCTGTGTGTACTACTTTAAATTCAAACAGAATATTGCTTTATAATTTTTTTAGTCAATTTCCACCTTTTCATTAGAGTTTTTGTGCAATACACCGTATTCAGAGTTTCCCAAGTAATCCAAATAAGTCACAACTTCCAACCAAATGAGTATCCAGTCTAGGGCCACAGGTTGTATCTGTTTTGTTCTTTTACTCAAACAAATGACACTTGATAATGCAGAGAATTGTAGCTATGTGGAGAATAGAGCAGATGGAAAGCAACAGTATGGTAGGGAAAGATAACAGCTAAGACAGTGATGTTGGAGGTAGAGGGATAAAAATGGGCTTGAAATACATGCATATAATGGCAATTAGTTGGATGATAGGGAGTGAGGAAAAGAGGAAGCAGGGATCACAGGTTTCTGGTGTAGGGTATTTGGTTATTGTGTGGACATAACTGACATTTCCAGTACCCGAGAATCCAAACAAGATGAGTGGAATTTGCCTACTTCATCTACTTTGTCTCCCCACCTCCAAACTAGTTTGGTTTCATGTCTTGGGTTACCAAGTACCAGTACTATCAGCCGTTCCTCTGCTCATTGAATTTGGTGAGCAAGGCCCATTGGCACCCACAAATTTGGCCAATACCCTTCGGAGGCCTCTGGTTAGGGGATCCTGAGGTTTGGAGGAGAGAGGTTTCATGTGGGCCCAAGGGCAGTGCTTACAATGTCGGGGTATTGGCATGTCACCAGCTCCCATCCTTGCCCCTCGCTGATCTTGGGGACCTACAACCTTGGAGTTAAGCCTCTGAGGTAGAGGAGGTCGAGAGCTCTGGTTCCTGTAATAAGATCTTTGGGACATTGTGTTTACAGTGGTTTCCATTGGCCTTGGGGCCTGAGCTGGATGGCTCTTCCCTTTAACTGCAAATGCCCCTAATCTTGCATCCCCTCTTCCATCTATTTCTTTGGGTCTCTTGGGACTTACTCTTTCTTTGGCTGAAAGCAGGACTGAAGCCTGGTCCTGTCTCTTCCCTGAGACTGGAACCTTGAGGTGTGAGGGCACCCCTAGACCTTTGCAGTTCTCACCAACCCTCATGTGACGACATGGCCTCTGGGATGAGACCTGGACCACCATTTTTGCCTTAAAATTTTCCTCTCTCTCAGACCCTTGCTTTGCCCTGCCAGACCCTCCTAGTTGAGATTGTGAAGAGGTGTTGGAGTGATGACAGTGGGAGACCTGGACAGGCTGAGTTACTGTGCTCTGAACTTCTGGGGGATGACAGCTTGAAGAGTGGGGGCACAGATTGGGAACATGAGTCTGCTGTGGAGGACAGGAAGAGAGTCCCCAGGACCCTGGTGCTGTGGAACTCAAGGTAGGGGAGCTGCCAGATAATTGACTTGGGCCAGGAGGCCTGGAGGCAGGCCTCTGCTGCAGCTTCCTCAGCCTCACTTCCAACTCTCTACTCCAGTGCCAGGCCTGGGTCCCAGAGTGGGTGGGTACCTCAGGGACAGTCTCTTCCTGGAAGGGTAGAGTCTGTGCTTTAATTCTAGAGAATGGTGTTTCCTTGGGTAGGCCACACTTCTGGGACTCAAAAGCATCAGGTAGGGTGGGAAGCCAGGGTATTGGCTTCTGGAGATCCACTGCTGGATGACTGGGGCCCTGTGCAATTGTTCTGTTTTGTGTATTTCTCCACACAAACTCAAGGTCAATGGGTGGATTTGGTAAAGGAGCAGAGAGTGAACTGGGAATTGAGGCTGGGAGCTTGGTGGCCCAGGAGCATGCTCTCTCTTCCATTGCTTTCCCCTCAGGTTCACAGTTACATTGGCCTCCACTAGGCTCACTTACATGAAACTCTGACATAGAGCTTGGGGGTAGACTAGGGCCCCACACAGGGGTAACAGGAATACAGTTGATTTCTTTGTGCCTCAGACCCCTCCAAACATGCTCAGAAGCAGGTAGTAGTCCCAAGGGCCTTGTATCATGTGGGTCTTGGAGTAGACCATAATCTGGGATCTTAGAGACCCAAGAGTTCTTCCTTTGTATGTCCCCACATTTAGTCTCAGAATCAAACAGGACCCCCAGGAGACTGACTCTGAGGGGCTCCAATGTACGAGCTGGGGATGAGCTGAGGGCCAGAGATGGGGGCTCAACCTTTCTGGAATGTTCAATGCCCTTTCTGGCAGCATCTGATCTAATGAAGCCTCCCACAGAATTAATTCTGTGGGATTCTACAATGGGATCTGGAGGTGGGCTGTGAGGTGCTGGGGGTTGGACCATCCAGCAGCTGTTCTTTCTCTGCCCTGTGGTCTCCCACAAAGTTTTGGACTCAGATAGGTCTCCCTGGGGAGCCACTACCAGGGAGTCCAGCAGAGAGAATGAGGGAAGGTTGGGAGAGGAAACTGGACCTACAGAGACCCAAGGAATTTCTCTGTCTTGCATGGCCTGCCATGAATTCTCAGATCCTGATGGGACACATACAGGGCTGCTTTCATGGAGCAGTGGGTTGAGGTTCGAGGCCAGGGGCTCAAAATCCCAGGGCTTCCCTGAATTTTCTCTGAATCCCCACTGATGCTTATATCCAAAAGGTTCTCCCTGGGGTCCCCCTCCTTGGAGCTCTGCTGAAGGGTCTGGGGGAGAGGAGAGGGATAGCATTGGAGACCCAGAGATTTGACTGTTCTCTTTATGTCCCATAGTTTCCCAGAAGTCCATAGGTACAAAACATCCACCTTCAGGGTTGACTTTCTGGGGTTTTGACAGAGAAAATGGGGGTTGGCAGGGAGCTGGCAGCATTAGGGCCTCAGAGATGTGAAGATTCTTTGTACTTCTGGTGCCCCTCCACTGCATCTCAGATCCAGGTGGCATTCTCAAGGGATTAATTCCTTCAGGCCCCTTCATGGGGGCGGTGGATTGACAAGTGGCCAGGACTGAAGTATGAAATATTTTTCTCTGCCCAGTGGTTTCCCAGAGGGCCTGAGATACAGAAAGGTCTCTCATAGGGTTGATTCCCTGGAGTTCTGGTGGGGAGGCTGGGCTGGCAGCTGGCATTGGTGACTCAGCGGTTTTCGGGTCCTCATTTTGTCCTATAGTCCTCGATGGGACCTCAAATCCATTCAGGACTCGAAGGCTAGAGGGGTACAACAGAGGGGCAGAGTGTGGCTCTAAAATGTGTTGTTGGAGACTGAGATCCCATGGTACCCTCCACTGAACCTCAGACGAAGTGAAGAGCTTGGATTGTCTGGTGTTTTTGAGTTCAGGCTGTGGGTGCAGAGCTTGGTCTTCAGAGATCCAAGGGACCTCTCTCTGTGGCCTAAACCATTGAGTATGTGCCTCGGGGTCAGATGGGACTCCCTTGTTATCCTTGGGAAAGGACTTAAAATGGAAGGGGAGAGGTGGGGCAGGAGGGGAAGATGAAAGGGAAAGTTGCTGAGGATCTAGGCCCATCCTTTCCAGGCCTTCTGCAGTATGGATTCCATGGGTAGGTAGCTGAGTTGGGAAACAATACTGGGGAAACTGCAAGATAGGCCTAGATAGGGAAGCAAACTTGTTGAAGAAAACAGAAGGACCAACAGAAAGCTCAAGGGGAGAGGGGTCACCTGAGCTCAGGAAGATGGCCTCCAAAGACTCACTGTGCAAAGAGGGGAGACCCCAGAAGAGCTGACTTTTTTGCTGCTGTAGGTATCTCCCTGAGACTCTGTTGTGCCTCTCAGGCAGGTTGGTCAGGATCTGAAAGGTGGGGAAGGATCTGGAAGGGTTTGGGGTCTGTGTGAGTACTTGCTTTGGTGTTCTTATGGTCTTGTAGAAGTCATCAGAACCACAGGGTGGATGAATTGAGCTTGTGGTGGCTTGCTGTCCAATAGGAGCTCCTTTGGGAAAAGAATATGGCTTCAGTAGATTCAGAGATGCTTCTTCCTCCTCCTCTTCCTCCTCCTCTTCCTCTTCTTTCTCTAATTTGTGCTTCCACAGGCGATCAAGGAAATTCAAACACTGTAGTAGTGGTAGGTCCTGGGGAGTGGAAAGACATTATCAGACACAAAGCCTTGCAGACACAGGTATGTCAGGTAGCCTCAGTTTCTGTTCTACATCTAGAAATGTAACAGTAACCTACCTGGCCCCACCTCTGTGTCTGTTGTCACCCACCCAGTGTTAATGGCCATTACCTAGCTCCAGTGACTGTTTACCTGGTTTCAGATCTGGTGTCAATGCTGACTTGGCCAGTCTCACATTGAAGGTTTACAGTCATTCACTTGGATCTCTATCCATGTCAATGATTCCTCCCCTGAATTCACACCTACCTTGTCTTGCATCATGTCCCCAGAGTACCAGCACTGAAGCTGTCGCCACATCCCAAGCTGCGTCCACCTCCGGATCTGCCAAACCATGAACAAGAACAGTATCGCCATAGTCCCTGGACTCTGGAAGCAGCTGCTGCCACAGTGCCTGCAGGCCAGGACTCGGGTCAACTGGCCCCAGAGAATCCCCATGTCCTGGTCAGCCCCAAGCAGACTCTCTAGCGGCCATTCCATTTCCTCAGCCTGTGGCAGTTTACCCTGAGGTCATCACTGCATCACAGAACAAAAGAACTCCCATCCCCCACATGCCTAACAGCCTTCTTCCTGAATTTTGGGCCAAAAAAATTACCTTCGCCAGATAATTCATACTTTACACTAGGAAACCTGGGTGATCCCTTTTGTTTTGATTAGCAGGGTCAAACTATCCTCTTGTTTGAAGATAATTGTGGTCAAGAACATGGATTCTAACAGTCTTATTCAAATCCTCACTCATCTGTGACTGTGTAGGTGCCTTTCTTTTTATCCTTTTCCTAATCTATCCTTTTAAAGTGTAAAAATAAAAAATCTTCACCACTTCCTACCTGTGAGATCTCAGACTATTTAAACTTTCAGGAAAGTGGTTTTATTTGTCGACAAATGAGGAGGGCAGCGGACTCCTGTCCGAAAGGCCACCGTCCTGTTCTTTGGCAAGTTACAGGGCTTTTTATACAATGTTCAACAAAGAAAAAGGGGAGGTGGGAGAGTCCGCAAAGGGGAGGGAGTAAAAGTTGGTGCTGAGATGGAGACCAGTGAGCACCAGCTTTTATTTACACAAAGACAAACAAAATGGGGAATCAGCAAGAGTAATGGGGAGGGGGGAGGGGGCAGCACAGGGAGGAAGAGGAGTTGAGGAGTCAGTGCCGGTGCTGGTGAGCTTTCTCACTATTTGCTTTTGTTTGGAATTTCCTTTCCTTGACCCTAAACTTATCAAGAGAAGAGAAACTGCAAGGAAAGGAGAGGAAAAAAAGTAAACCCACAGTCAATTAAGAGCTCTGGGAAAACCAATTCTGTCACAAATTTGTCAAAGGAGGCAAATCCGCAAATGCTTATCTGAGAGCCCATTTACTGTATCAGTATTATCACAGGTTTGTTCTGAGCATTCATTGAACAAGTGCATAGAATGTTATATAGTGTATGTTACATTGAAAGTGTACGTCTTTTAAAGTTCTTGATTATAAGCCTTGTTCTAGCTTTAAGAGATGGATCCTGGTGCACCTTGTTCCCATTTGCCTCTCTCCTAAAACCACCACTCAGTTACAGGGTGACTCTTCTTTTCAAGGCCAAACTTCAGTCTCTGTCTCCCTGGTGTAGTGCCTTTTTCACCTCACCTCCATCAAAGACCAGCTTTGTCTCACAGAAAGACTAGTGAGCTGAAACTGAGGAAACTTGAATTCTCTAGCTCTGTTACTGGTTGACATTGTGGTCTTGGGCAAGAAAGTTTTCTCCCTTGCTACCATGAGTTGGATTAGACTCATTCATTCAATAAGTATTTATTGAGTGACTACTATGGATCAGGTAGTGTGCTGAGTATTGAGGAGACAGAAGACAAAGTGCACTAAAGCAGGTCCCATTTCAGTGGTGGAGAGATAAGTAAATAGACAATCAAAATACAGATATGCATAGGGTACTGTGGAAGCAGAGAAAGATATTCTGCTTGGGGAAGGGGTTTGTCTGGGGGTGCTTCTCAGAAGAGATAATACTTGGTTTGAGGATCCAGGAAAACGATAGTGTAGGGGATAAGAGGACAACTCCAATCACAGGAACAGTCCGTATGAAGGTGCCAGGGCAGAGAAAGCATGTTCCACTAGGCAGACTGAAGATTTTTCAGTGCAGCTGTAGTATGGGGTTGGACATATGGAAGCAGCTGGAGGTGAACCTGGAGTTACAAGATCACAAAGGGCCGTAAACACCAGGCTAAGAAGTTAGAAATTTATCCTGATGGTGGTGGGAAATCACTTAAAAGTTTCCATCAGGGAATTGACAAATTCACGTTTCTGTCTTGGAAGAAATACTCTTGACTACAGTGAGGGCAAAGAGATTGAAGGCAACATATTCATTAGGGCATCCTTTCTTTAGTTTATGCAAAACAAAAGATGAGACCTGACCCATTTGCTACCTCTGAGTGAAGGAGATGAGTTGAGTCCTGATGAGAATATCTGTTCTATGCTAGCTGATGTACTTGTGTGTTAAAATAACTTAGCAAGTTATTAATGCTCTCTCCTACTCCATGACAAAGGAGATACATAGTAGGATAGAGGGTGATTTTTCTCTTTTCCAGGAATTGTAGCTTTATCGTTAAAATAAAATTGTTCATGGATTCTGTTTTCTAGTTCCAAAACAAAGTTGCAAGACACTTTGTCTACATCCTTATCCAGCTCTTGAGTGGGAGAGCAGTTTTACTTAACTTGGTGTTCTTGGGAAGATGGAGGAGATGCTGGGTTGAAAGAAAAGTTGTTGCCCAGAGACTTGAGAAAGATACAATGATGGGCTCTATGAGTGACAGGGCCTGCCTATACAGAAGGCCACTGGAGCTAACAGATCTCTGATAGGGAGGACACTAAATGTGTCTTAACCCCGGGCCAGCCGGACAACGCGGTCTCGAGGTGTGGGCTGGGGATGATAATGAACCAGGCACACACGCACGCACACACGCACACTATTCACAGGCAAAAAGAAGCTAGCTCCTTTATTGTTCCGATTCCCTCCTTATATATCCCACAGTCCCCACCTCCGTACTTTTTCACCCCCCTTGTTTGTACACAGTCTGAGCATTTAGTCCTGCCAGCAAAAACATACTCCCTTTCCGGTGCAAGAGACCCTTGTTCTTTAAAAGCCCACAATGTTTCTTTCTAGTTCTTCAGTAACCTCAACTCCACAGCTCTCCACAATGTATGGGGCACATTCTTGGGAACTGTAGCAAAAGATGCTGGTGCACATACTTGGCAGAGATGCTGTAGCACCCAGTGGCAGCCAGGGTAGAATCAAGATGGTTGGAGGGTGGGATGAGGAGGGTGATCAGTGTATACCAGACTGAAGAGGAAAGAAGGTCCTCTAGTCATGATTAATATTGGATGTTTTCAAACCCTCGTAAGTGGGAGTTTTGAGTAAGAATTAAGTTAGAAAAATTAAGTTTCCTGCTCCTCAGAGTTGTGAGAAAAAATTGTATTTTCCCACTTACCTTCACAACTCTTTGAAGTAGTTTTTGTTACCCACTTTCACATAAGGGGAAACTGGGGCCTAGAGAAGTCAATATATTTACACACACACGGCTGTCCCAGAAGACAGAACCAAGGATTGAGGATCCTCTTGTGTTGTGATAACTCACTTCAAAATAGGTGACATAAAATATAATTTAACAGGTGTAAACAAAATGAATATGTTTTGACTCAATTAAACAATTCAGGAGTAGGACCAGGATTGATGCAAGGCCTCAATTCAAGGTTATCAAGTTTCCATTCCATGGTTCTCAGTCTATAATGCTGAACTTAGTTTCAGGTGTTGTGTGGTAGAAGGTTCAGTGAAGCTAAAAAAGTGGTGTCATTCTGCCACCATTGGGCTTTATGGTTTCCAGTTGTTCGTGTATCAATCACTAAGCTATTCACTGCACTGCTCATGGGAATAGAATGCTTCTTCTGACAGGTCTGAGTCATATACACATCCTGGAGTAGGTGTGTGGAGGGAAAATTATTTCTTCTGCACACGGACTGGGATTGAAGAAGTAGGGGTGTAGTAGTGTTGAGAGAGGACAGACATACTATTGCCAAAGATGTTTATACTGGAATTAAAAACAAAACAAAACAGATACCGCTCTCTGTAAACTTCCCATCCTGTTCTTTGATCCAGAGTCATGTTATTACCCTTTACTGAGCCTTAACTTGAGGTGTGATGGTGGTTGTTGGGAGTGACCAAAGATTTACTGACAAGGACTGAATTAGGGCGGTAAAGAATTGAGCCTTGCATCCAAGTTTGATAAAGTGGTAGTAAACTGACCTTGAGATCCTGGATGGGACTAGCTGAAGGTGACAGCGAACTGTGGTCCTCATATCAAGGACACAGCGATGAGTCATCCCCTTTGGAATCTGAGTTTAGAATCTATATAAGAGACCCTTCCCCCTTATTGAGTTGGCAGTAGCTGTGGACCCCACCCTAGGGGCTCCCTCTCAGCTGCTTCCCGGAGCAATAAACTCTGCTTGCTCAGCCTTTCTGCCTCCCGCCTTCCTTTCTTGTGGCCAGTCACAGAAGTTGGGACTAAACAGTGGTTCCTCTGAAAGCCAGAGAAGGGGCTAAATGGTGCTTAGGGTAGAAGTCTTGAAGAAGAGGTATGTCTTTGCAAATAGAGCATTCGGTGACCCAGTTTCTCCCTTCCTAGACCATTTCATCTCAGAATTCTTTAGTTCTGCTCCAATTCATCTGTGGTCATATCTGAAATTTCATAATCAGGAATCACTCTGTCTTCTGAAATAACCAGTCTGGCATTCTAACTGCTGACTTCCAGATTTGTCCTAATGATGCCAATTCCTCAACCTTGTCAGACTGTCCAGTCCTTGATCCTTTTATTTTCTTGCATTCATTTCATCCTTTTCTTTGATAGACTTCATGGTCCATCACTTATCAACATCCTAAACACTTTTCAATGAATTTTCCTTTCATCATTTATACCTGGCAAAATTTTCTCTGCATCTGGCAGACCTAGCCTCTAGGGAACATCTCAGCCCCACTAGATAAAATCACACATATGAATAAAATAGTGCCACCATAAACTCTTAAAAAGCATTTAGCCGTACATTACATTTATTAAGTATCTTCTATGTGCTCAGCACCGTTTTAGGTACTTGGGATACTTAACAGAATAAATAAAGCTCCTAGCTGATGGAGTTTACATCATATATTCCTTAATAAACTACTCCATTCTCTCAAAATCAGTTCAGACAATCTTCACTTTCCTCAGCTTCTTTTACTCCTGCCTCTCGCAGATGTGCCAGACCTCCACTTGTCAGAGGAGCCAGAAGCTTGAAGATGGGATCTTTTCATCATGAACACTCCCTTGTGTTTCATCTCCTTTCTGCAACAGTGAAAGGTGTTTTCTCAGGGAGTCCATACTTGAACCTCTCAAGCTAGGATGGGTGTCCTTATCCTGGCCGCCTCACCAACATTATTCATATTTCATTGTAACTTCTGTCTTAACTATCTGTGAGCAGGAACATTGTCTTCCCATTTCACTGCTTTATCTCCAACCCCTGCTGCTTAGTACCAAACTAGATAACTACAGTTATCTCCCTCTAGGTGAATCAAAAGACAAAGCTTTTGGGAAAACAAACAACTCAAAAAACCCAAAAAAAAACCCAACTGGGATTTCTGTAAGAGACCCCTCCTGGGGCGGGGCCTGCTCGGTGCGGGGGCCTGCTCAGGGCGGGGCCTGCTCCGGAGCAGCTTTTTCCTCAGGCCCCTTTAGTGGCAGTCTCCTAAGAGTCACCTCTGGACACTGAAGTAAGTCACTTTGGTTACTTGAGACTAA